GAGTCACACAGGGCCCTGAGAACATAGCAGAATGCTAATTCAAGCAAAGAAAAGACCGCTGCCATACTGACCGCATGGTGTGAGGTATTTTAAGGTCAAAGCCTCAGTTACAGTATGAGAAAGCTTTATTGTTTTTCAGAATTAAATCAGGGTACAAGCCACGCCAATGATATTCTGGAACACATCAGATACATGAAAAGTGAAACATGAAAATGCTTCCACATACTTGCATCTCCTTCCTTCCCGTTGACATCGTGCTGGTCGCCTCCAAAAATAGGTGCTAAGTGTCCCATCTCAATAAGGTGGTTTTTTTTTTTTTTTTTTTTATCACTCTTCCAATGGCATTTTGATCTGAAACATGAGATGTGAGCGCGGTGCCTGGCTTGTGCCTCTCCGGATGGAGGGAGACTCAGGAGCGGCAGGCACAGCCTCCTGTTCCTGTCTTGGTGCTGTCAGGGCTGGGCGCATGGCCGGTCCTCAGCAGACCGGCCTTTCGTGGCTCCGAACCCGCGGGTCTCGGAGTGCCTTTGTACGCTGAGCTGCACCTTCACGGTCTAAGTTCTCTCTCCCTGTAACTGCAACTCGCGAGCATGGCGAAACTTAGGTTCATCATCGTGGCGGTTCGTGCGTGGAAAGGTGACGACCCCAAGGGTTGTAAGTTCCTGTTCTCTTTATTTGAGCAGTACATGGAGGTTAACAGGACACGAGAGCATGCATCTGGGGCTCTAGGAGGGGAGTGTCTCGGCCCTCTGGGAGTGTCACAGTAGGCAGTGACAACATACTTATTTTCTTGGACTTGGGAGAGAAGCGGTGGTTCGAGGAAAGAAGAAATCGGATGGTGTTAGGTGCTCCCGACTTTGTTTTGAAACACCGCCGTCCCCGGGACAACTGCCCTAGGGTGAAGTGTCCATAGACTGGGTCCGCATCAGGTGAGCGTCACGTCGTTTGTCACTTCCTTCCAGGTATCTGAAGTCCATCCACGAGTGCTGGCACCAACCCGTTGTCTCCGTCTTTTCGATGCCTTTTGAAATGTGTTTTTAAGAATAAAACGAAATGCTCAGTAGGTAACCCTACTGAGGAGTGATCCTGGGGAATAATCAGGGGCTCTTTGGAGGCCGTAGGCAAGGGTCGGCAGGAGCCGAGCCGGGTGGGGAGGACAGGACACTGTGGACGTTGCTCAGGCATGGCGTCCCCAGGAGTTGGAGCCGACTCAGCGGCACATAACACACACACTTGGGAAGAAATGGTTTGGTTTTTCTACAGCCAGAAACACTAGCATCTGCCACCCCCTCTCTCCAGCAGTTCACACTCTCCTGGGCAGAGGGGTTGGATTTCCCCAGCCTTTGTATCTCCGTGTTGGTGAGCCTGCAGAGTGTTCCGTCCAACTTCCTCACAGCCCATCGCCTAATGGAGCTGTACAGTAAATGCGTCTTGTGTCAGCAGGGTGGTTTTCAAAGCATCCTGTGTTAGCAGGAGTGGATGCAACTGAAGTTCATTGCAGTTCCTTTTTGCCCCAACAGGTTCTTAGCATGATAATCAATGCAGCTTACAAGCCTGGAAGGGTCTTGAGAGAACTGCAACTGGTGGAAGATCCACAGTGGAATTTTCAGGAAGAGACACTGAAGGCAAAGTAAGTGTTCCAGTTCTGGAAAACAAGAGGTCTTGTTATTCTTGGCCTGCTCCTTTGAAACTTGTCAGTCCTGTTTTTGACATAGCCCAGACAAAATGGAGGCAAAAGGAAGGGCTGTGTGCTGCAGTTCTGTGTGCTGCCTGCAGATTTGGTGGCGTTTGCTACACAGCTGCTTTAAGCCTTAGGGTTCCCAAAGTGAGGTACAGAGTTGCTTAACTAATATTTATTGTGTTAAATATTCAGAATAAAAACATACTGTTTCAGGTCCAATAGATGATTTGATGAAAAGGGGAAAATTTAGAAAAGAGAAGATATCCCTTATCATTATTACACATTATTCATTAACAGCTCTTAATATTTGGTGCTGATTTTATCCCAGAGCCACATGTTTACTCTGAGAGCTGACCATTTTAAAACATAAAAAGAACCTACTACCTCTGTTGGGTTTTGGTGAATGGGCTGTGGGTTGACATGCAGTTGGTTATTTCTTCTTTTATTTGGAAATAGGCTAATTGGAAAGGTGCTTTTTTTTTTAATTTGCTTTAAGTTTCTTGAACTCTGAAACTGAGAGAACCAACCCGGTCACTGAGCTTGAACTCGGTTGTTCAAGAGGCAAATGGAAAAAGAGCCACTTTTCAGGATAACCAATTGCTCTGGTATTTTGAGAGGGCTTTTAATATTCACTCATGCTATCCAAATAGAATAGCTCTTACTGGTCAACCTCTCGTTTAAGTGTCCAGCACGTCACGTAGGTACGACATTTGGGAAGTGATGCTGTTTAAAAGAGTGAACCACTTTTCAATGGCTGGAGTATATCTCAGCTCGCCTTTAAAGAAGTACCTATCTTGTTCCTAGTGAAAATTGGGGAATTTTAAGTAATCCGTATGAGCAGTAATACTTTCCTCTGTAGTTATGCTGGTACTGACTAGGGATGTTGA